AGGAAAAAAAAAAAAAAAAAAAAAGAAAATGATATAAATTTCTTAAATGACAAATTTCATGATAAGTGAATGAGTTAGAGAATTGCAAGCCAAAAAAAAAAAAAAATTGGTATCCACCCTCTTTTTTTTTTAAAAAATTCGTAGTTAATGTAACTTAACGTAGATACTGGTTGTGTTACCTTGTTTTGAACAAAAAATGTGCAAGAAAGCAGGCTGTTGGGTTTGGGCATATTTCATTGCATTTTGAAATTGCTCTTGGTTTTCTAAAGGTAAAAGATACGAAGACTCTAAATACTTTAGCTCAAAGTTTGAAACGTCTTCTTTTGAACTGAGATGAGGAATAAACAATTCAAATAAATCTTCTTTAAACTGGCGCAGACTAGAATGCAACGGATTCTGAAGTATAAAAACATGTTCTTTATTTCCAAAATAAGCGCGAATTTGCAGAATTGGTGGGGAATTAGGCTCATAAGAATCCATTCTTTAATTTCTTTTTCTTTTTTTAAGATTAGGGAATAAAAGATTTTACAAAGATGGTATTATTGCGACGGGAAATGAAAATAAGTAAATAAATAAAATCGCAGAATGGGATTCTACCAATGAATGTGGGAATGGATTAATAACACGAAAAAAAAACTAATTAATAAAACACACAAGCCCTTTATAATGTAGAGGAAATTAGTAGACTACTTTCAAGTGGAGAGAAAATAAACCAGAAGAAAAATTGAGTAAATAAAAAGAATCTATCTCCGTGTAAAGCAGGCGAAATATAGTATTAATTAAATACTTTAAGATTGAAAACCGCGTTTTTTTTTTTTTTTTTTTTTTTTTGTAAATTGCATAAATTTTCATTAACAATTTAAACTACAAAATTTGAGCTATAAAAAAAGAAAAAAGGAAACAGAAATCTCAAATCTAGTTGAAATTTCGATAGATCTTTCCTGAAGTATGAACGTTGAAATCCATAAGGAATTCTCAAAACTTCCGAAGCTGACTTAATTTGAATTTTTCTAATTTATTTTTTTCAATATTATAAAGATGCAATAAAAATCTTTTTTTTTTTTTTTTAAATCTAAAGTTACATTACAACCGTTAAGTATCTTCATTTCTTATTCTGTGCATGCATTACATTTTCTTTCCAGATTTTCGAAATAAATATGCCTTCAAGGATCAGTTTTTATATTTTTTTAAAACGAATTCAATTAATTATTTTATTTAAAGATTCAAACTCGAAATTCATGTAAAATCATTCTTTTAAAACGCAGGGAACTAATTCATTCGAAAAAAAAATAACAAAAAAAATTTAACACTTAGAAGAATTTAAAATTATTTTAACAGTGGATGTGTTTTTATCAATTGAATCCAATGCAAAAAATCAAATTACATTGTTAAATATTTAAATTTATTTATAATTTCAAAGGGAGCGGTAGCTGCAAGCCCGCCTAGCTCAGTCGGTAGAGCACAGGACTCTTAATCCTGCGGTCGTGGGTTCGAGCCCCACGGCGGGTATTTTTTTCGGTCAATTCTTATTGATAAGTAAGGTCTTCTTTTTTTTTTTTAAATTTAGGATTGTAAATTGTCCATGTATTCTTTTTGTTTTCAAGAGGATTGTTTTAATTGAATTTTTTTCGTAGTTACTTTGAATGGAATCCCAGTGTATATTACAAGTTTTATCTTTTTTTTTTTTTTTCTTTGGATTTTTTTGGATTTTTTGCCTAATATTGACTACGGAATAGAACAAAAAAAGAAAAGAAAAAACACACTTCTAAAGAGTTTCTATCAATTTAAATAAATTTCTTTCAAATGATATGCCGTAGGCTTCCATTCTAAAAGTTTAGGATCAATAGAAATTCGATTAGGTTTACGTTTAGTGGCTTCATGATGTTTCAAACATTTTTCAGTTAAACAAATGACATGTTGTCCTTTAAAGTAACATAAGGAACCGATGGCATGTAAAGTAAATAAAATATCTTGAATGGTAAAACAAGTGGCTTGACTCATGGCTTCCAAACTTGTTTTCCCACCACATTTAAGTAAGTAATCCACTAGCACTTCGGTCCAGTAAGCACGGTACCCAAGTAAACCTAAATCACTTAACGGTTTTTCAGGGGACCCGATTTTTTTCTCAATTTTAGATAATTCGTAACTAAACTGAATCAAAACGCGGCCATACCCTTTCCGTTGGTATTGAGGTAAAGTTAAGATGCATGCAACATTGTAATTGTCGGCAGATTCCTTTTCTTTTGAAAAGTAACCCACCAAATGACATCCATACTTGTCATGGATGGTGAATAAGTAAAACAAAAACGGATCCACATCGTAGTACAACGTTTTATGATCTAAAAAGCATTTAGAGAGTAAACATAAATTACGACAATATGTTTTTTGGCGTTTCCCATCCACTTCAAAAAAGCTAAAGTTTCCTTGCCGATAGATTTCATTCCCAGGTGGATGTGTAAGTTCGCATTTCATTCGATGTCGTTCATGTTGGCAAGAGGATACAAAGTAAGATAAACAAAACTCACAAATGTACACCAATGGGAAATGAGTAAACTCAGGTGGGTAAGGAGAAAAGTACCAGGGCTCAATCAAGTACCGACCTAATTGAAGATGACTTAAATTCTTCATTCGAGACACTTCGGAAATCGATTGCGTCATGGACCCCCCGTGTCTTAATTTCTCTTTTTCTAACGACTTCGGAGGCGGGACAGAGTCCTTTTCCAACATGGCCGAAGGATCTGAAAGTAAGTTGGATGTGGAAGACGTAGATGAGCGTTGACGTTTACGTTTTTGAGAAGGGCCTTTGAGAGTTGTTTTCTTGTCACGAGAAGAAGTAGACGATGCAGTAGTTGTGGAAGAAGAAGGTTCATCATTTTGAACGAGATTTTCGTGAAATTCTTGAGTCATGTATGCATTGCGATCATTGGAATCCGTGTCCTCTACATAATTTTCTTCAACCTCTTCCTCTTCCTCCTCCTCCTCTTCCTCTTCTTCTTCCTCCTCTTCTTCTTCTTCTTCATCCTCCTCCTCCTCCTCCTCTTCTTCTTCTTCAGCCTCCTCCACCTGATCAGCGTCGTCACTTTCTTCTTCCATTGCTCCCACTTTTCTTCTCTTTACGATAGTCTGTAAATGACCCATTCCCCCTTGTGGGTATTTTTCTTTTTCCTCCTCCTCCACTACATTTCCTTCCTCTTCCAATCGACGCTGAATTCTTTTGGCTTTAGAAATGAATCTCCCTCGAGTACTTCGACTCAACTCTACTTTCGTTTTCTCTGAACTTAACATGGATGTATCTGAAGCGTGTTCCGAAGTAGGAGAGGAAGTGAGTTTTAAGGCACGAAGAGCCATGGACGTAGGTGGTGAATGGACACTGGAAGCTTCCTTGTCATGTTGCTGTCGTTGTTTATTTTCTTCTTCGTCTTCTTTTTCCTCCTCCTCCTCTTCCCTCCTTTCATCGGCTTTGTTTGATTCACGCTCTTGGAGCGTCCATGGATCGCTTTCATTCCATTTTCGTTTACGTTTTTGGTGGAGATCGGGCAATGAAACGCCGGTCCTTGACGATTCCTTGGAAATGGCCGAAAAAGCATCGGTAGAAGGAGAAGAAGGTTCCATAGAATCATCAGCCAATGACCCTAAAGGGTGACGGGTCGATGTTTCGGTGGACGTGTGAAGGGTGTGATTATTCGACGAAAGGAGCGCGGGGATGACCAAATGGCTTTTTTTAGGATTCTCCTCGTCCATGTTTAATTTTTTAAATTTCGTTTTGAGTTTCAAATGAGTTGGAGGTTGAAGTAAGGTCTCATCTTCCTTCATTGGTTTTTTCGGAACCTCTGTAGTAGAGTGAGTTGATATTGAAAGTGGAGTAGTGAGTAGTTCTTCAGAAAAAGTAGACACGTTTGAATGTTGTAATTGACGTTCGTCAGCTGTGACTTTTACTTTGTTTTTGAGTTTCTTTTTTGGGTTTGATAAGGGTGATGATTTTATTTTTGTCGCATTCACACTTTTCTTTTGAGTCACCCAACGACCCTTCATGTCCATGGTATTCGTGTTTGTATTGGTGAGTGTATCCTCATGTGTTGTTTTAAGTAATCGAGTAGGTCCAGTAGAGTTTTTTGTATCCTTTTCTACTCCTTGTAGACCCGTGCTAGGATAGGTAGTAGTAGTAGTAGTAGTCGTAGTAGTGGTGTTGGTAGTGTGAGTTGCAGTAGTAGTTGCCACTGTAGGTGTGTTTGATTTTTTTTTCCATTTAGGATAGTCAATGGTGGACAAGTCCAAGTGACTAGCTGGAACCCATTCATCCAAGCGTTTGTTAAAATCTACGTAATGAACATAAAATTCTCTAGATGCCAAATCACGAATCGAGAGTATTTCAGCAGATCTCCAAGCACCATCGATTTTATTTTTCACCAACAATTTACATCCAATGGTGACGACTTGTAAATCCGAAGAAGTGGAAGGTGGATTAGAGGGAGTAGCTACATTGACGGGTTGACTAGAAGAAGAAGAAGAAGAAGAAGAGTTCGTTGTCAAGGTTAAGTCCTTTTGAAGAATTTCTTCTCCTCCTGAAACGGTGGTAAGCATATCCATTTCAGTTTTAAAAAAATAGAGACAGAGACCAAGAAAAGGAGAGTTTTCTTCTTCTTCGACTGAGGAGAACAACCACAACAACAGCAACAACAATACTAAGAATATTAATACTTGAGAATCAAAATTCACTTAAAATTTATGTAATTTATGAACACACTTGAGACTGATGATGACTGACTTGAACCTTTTTTTTTTTTTTTTTTTTTTTTCTAAATAGTATCCAAAGAGGTTGGTGAAGAAGTTGCAATTAATCCAGCGAATATACCATTGCCGGAAGAAACAGATGATGAGTTGGACACGACATCCTTAGTTTCAACTTCCTTTTTTGACCCAATTCTAGATTCGTACATTCATAATGAGAAAGAATATGAGCAAGACACTTCGTACCTAACTTTGAATAATAATTCCTCGTTAACTTCGAATGAAAAGAATGACACAGAATGTTTACTAACGCGTAGCAAGCATGTCCAAATCGAAGAGCAAAGTGTAAATTCGATCGTCGAGCATCACGAGGAGCATCCAGAATCCACTCAGTTCCCATCATCTAAACGTGATGTCGGAGAAGAATCACCTATAAAATCGGATAAAGCTATTCAGTCAACTCCACTTGCATCTCTGAACAGTAGGTCTTTGAAAAAAAAAGCGCCTTCGCATCACTTTACCCCTCGTCCATGGAACCCTTCCATAAACGCAAAAGATTTAAGAAATCCTGAATATGAAACTAAATTAAGTCTAATCGATGACCGCTCTAATCTTTCACCAACCAAAGTATCTACATTTCCTCACCCGAATGTATTTAAATCTAAAAAATTAAGTTCCTCCACAGCCATTCCCCCGTTAGGGAATCCTTCTGGAGAACCTAGCACTCTACTTTTGACATCTCCAGTTTTAAAACATTCTCAAACAGATGCTTCAATGAAGTCCATTAGTCCGCTTCCACCATTGACCCCAATTAATAAAAACGAAGACAAAGTAATAACAAATTTCAATTCTAAAGAACAAGCAAATCAAATGGAAACTATACTAGAAGAAGAGAAAGAAGAAGTAGGGCTAGACCATATCAATTACGAAGAAGACGGGAGTTTCAAAAATACTGCTGGCAACGTTGAAGAAGTTGATGAAGAAATGGAGTATTTCAAGGAAGGTGCAGTCACTATGGAGAAGGAGGAGTTACGCTATGAGTCTCCTTCTCCTTCGATTTCTTCCTATGCCATCCCCTCCATCCCTTTTCATCAACCCCCACTTGCTCGTACTTCTCCTAAAAGTGTTTCCAGAGTAGAAGCTGAAAAACCCAAACAAGAATATCGAGAGCTGATGCTGGTCCCTTTACCCTCATCTCAAGTTAAATGTTATAAACCTACATTTAAAGATCCACCCCATGCTGATGGCTCATCAAAGCATATTCAATTTATAGACCCCTTTCTCTTTCCCTCAACCTCCATTCCTCCCATCCCCGACCCTCCAAAATCCATTCTAAAAAAAGTATCCATTTCAGATTCTGCTCCATCACATAGTTCTTCAGTGACCCCATCTGTTGGTTCTCTTCCCACCGTGGACCCAGCACCTAATACTCCTATAACTCTTACACCAAGCACAAAAGAAAAGAAAGCCATGGCTTCTCCTACCTATCCATCACCTTCGTATGTTTTAGTTCCAGCCAACCTACTTCCATCTTTGTTTCCCGTCATCCCACCCATTGCCAATTACCCTTGGACTTCGACGGAACAACAATGGGGACTTCCTCCACGACCGAAAAGTATGTTAGAATATGTCTCACATACTAAACGCACTTCCCCGAGACCGTATTCTGCCACACCGCCACTTTCTTACTATGAACAATACTTATTATCTCGAAAATAAGACGAGGAGACGTAGGAATGCAAAAAAAAAAAAAAAAGAAATAAAGATATAAAGCAATGAAA